GTGAAATAGATTGGAAAGTTCTGGGCATAGGGGGTGTAGGCCGGTCTTGGCGCGAGACGTGAACCCAGCGATGGGTGATGTAAGCATGGATTTTGATGTGGATTCAAAATATAACTTGGTTAAAAATATTCTAAGCAAAGCACAGGAACATAGTATATCATACAAATTTAATAGAGCGAATAATAATGACCCGAAATGGATAACAAAGATTTGAAGAACCTTATAGGTAGAAAGAGAGCTTGGTACAAAAGGATTAGAATTCGTCCAATTGTTAGAAATGTTAAAAAAAGTTTAGGAGGGAAAACATTTCGGTTAGATATGTTAAAAAAAAGAGATAAGGAGGTAAAAAAGAAACTAAAGTTCGCATAGCTGGACAAGCAAAGACAAATCCTAAAGTTTTTTCCTGTTATATCGAACACAGATTAGGGAAAGGATAGGTCCATTAAAAACTGATACAGGTCAGATAACTGATAATGACAAGGAGAGAAGTAGTATTTTTAATAAATATTTTATCTCTGTATTTGCTAAAGAGGAACTTAACATTATGCCTTCAGCCAAACAAGTCTATGTGGGTGGGGATGAGGACAGGTTGACTAGTTTAGCAGTTACCAGGGAGGATGTTATTAAACAAATAGTAAAACTCAAACCAAACAAATCCCCAGGGGCCGGATGAAGTGTTTGCCAGGGTGCTTAAAGAATGCAAAGAGGAGCTTTGCGAGCCATTGTCTACCATATTTAATAAATCATTAGAGTCAGGCAGTGCCAGAGTTGTGGAAGGTTGCTAATGTGGTTCCAATTTTTAAGAAAGATGCTTTAAACTATCGGCCAATTAGTTTAACGTCTAATGTGGGAAAGTTATTTGACTCGATAATTGCAAATACCATTCGTCTTCATCTTGAAAAACATAAATTAACAAATGATTCAGAACATGGTTTTACAAATGATATTGGGGTGCTATATTAAGTTGGATGTTGGCTGCTCCAAAGAAAACAAAGAGTTAATATAAATGGGGTTAAGTCAAAGTGGGAAAATGTTGTAAGTGGAGTGTCTCAAGGCTCTGTCCTGGGATCTCGTTGTTTATGATATATATAAATGATTTAGATTCAGGTTTGAGTAGCAACATTTGCAAATTTGCCGATGACACAAAATCGGGAGGGAAATAAATACGGAAAAAGAATTCACTATCACTTCAAGACGATCAAAATAGAGTTTTGAAATGGTCAAAAGATTGGCAGATGTAGTTTATTGCTGAGAAATGTAATGTTTTGAGGCTAGGAAATGATAGTTACAAGATACGAGCTAGATGGTGTTGAGATTGCGAAACAGATTTGGAAGTTATGATTAGTAATAATTTAAAACCAAAAAAATTATAAATGTTCATTCCAAATGAACCAAAAAATCATTCCAAATATTTATGCATTTATCTCAGAACTTCCCACTAGAGATTACCAAGTGTTATGCAGACGACGAGTCACAATAACGTGGTTTAAGATAAGATTAAACCACACACACCAGAAAAAGAGGAGACGATTATCAAGTCGATTGTGACGGACCGGACCTGTGGGTCCAGGACGGCCCCACACTCGACCTGTGGGTCCAGGACGGCCCCACACTCGACCTGTGGGTCCAGGACGGCCCCACACTCGACCTGTGGGTCCAGGACGGCCCCACACTCGACCTGTGGGTCCAGGACGGCCCCACACTCGACCTGTGGGTCCAGGACGGCCCCACACTCGACCTGTGGGTCCAGGACGGCCACACACTCGACCTGTGGGTCCAGGACGGCCCCACACTCGACCTGTGGGTCCAGGACGGCCCCACACTCGACCTGTGGGTCCAGGACGGCCCCACACTCGACCTGTGGGTCCAGGACGGCCCCACACTCGACTTGATAATGGTCCAGGTCAGACTGAAATGTCGTCTCCTCATTTTCTAGTATGTGGTTTAGTCTTGATACCAAATCTTAATTTAAGTGCAAAAGTTCAAGTTCAGGAAAGATAATGTTTCTGGGTTAAACAATAGACGAGGAATTCACGAGACATTTCAAGTGTAGGTTACACATACAAATAAGTTTACTTAGATATAAATATGAAATGTGTCCATTATTGTTAAGTTGGAACAATATAATACAGGAATATTATTCTTCCTCCTCCGGTCCCCCACTCAAGTAGGTTCAGGTAAACGCAACTTATATGTCTATATTTTTATTACGTATTTATGCAGCAAAACAAGCAGATTACTGTCAGAACAGAGGCTACTGGTGCTGGCGGCAGGGACTGTAGGGAGGGACATTAATATTCATATTCGATGGCGTACAGCGACCACACCTGCACCGTGACATCGCGAGAACTCTCAACGTAATCTGGATAACATTCACCGTCGATTATTCTGTTTCTCACTTTGCCCCACGATTTTGAACTCACAGCGACGGACATTTTCTGGCGGGAATCACTGTAAAGTCTCGGACGGATACTGTGTCTGGCAGTCTGCTTGCGTCGAGAGCGTCGTAAGTCCCGACGGAGGCCGTAGCGACGGCTCAGTTTCCAGCGGAGGGTCTTGTGGTCGCCAGCGGTGTAGCAGACGGGGCACTGGAAGGTTGTGGAGGTCTTGACGGCGGTGTTGTAGCAGTGTGAGCAGAGGTGGTGGTGGCAGCGCATCTTGTGAGGGAGGCACCGGATGACCCCCTGCTGGGACAGGCACAAGCCACACCGGTAAACTGATGGCATCTGTCAACAGTCACGGGACTTAACATACCAACTAACAATGCAATAATAACAAACAGAGAATATACAGATCATGTTACAATAACGTGGCTAAGTCTTATCAATTATGTTGACCAGACCACACACAAGAAGGTGAAAGGACGACGACGTTTCGGTCCGTCCTTGACCATTCTCAAGTCGATTGTGAGATCGACTTGACGGACCGAAACGTCGTCGTCCCTTCACCTTCTAGTGTGTGGTCTATATACTTTAACCACGTTATTGTGACTCATCATCTTATCAATTATCATTATTATTCATTTTCTGAAGTCTTCATTAGCTGATCTACGGCAGCCGGAGACTGTGACTGAGGAACACTTACTTTTGAGTTAACTGAAGGATTCAGGAGAAAACTGGCGTTGACACCCATTCTCAGATTCACAGCACGACGAGCTTACCTTCGCCTCAGCCACTCGTAAACTGGTTAAGACAGTTCTGTAGCTTAAGTATTTACCTTAGGTCACGTGCGTCTTAGTGAGATGTGGCCTCCTCATCTACTTCTCTTATTGTTGCACAGGTTAAAATATTTTTTCACGGATTAGGGAGCAAATAAGAAGAAAATACTCCCAACTATCAAAAGTCGCCACAGAGCTAAAGTAGCGGAAGGAAGATCCACTGCGATATGGTACGAACAAGCCACTGGGTACTACTCTTTCAAGCCTGACAAAAAGATATCCAGAGACATTGCAGCAGCCATACACAGATTAAGACTTAGTTACAAACGGTCAAAGGATTGGCAGATGCAGGTTAATGCTGATAAATGTAAAGTTTTGAGGCTAGGTAATGATGATAGAGTTACAAGATACGAACTAGATGGTGCTGAGATTGCGAAGTTGGATTGCGAAAGGGATCTGGGAGTTATGATTAGTAAGAATTTAAAACCAAACGATCATTGCATGAATGTTCGCAATAAGGCAAATAAGACACTGGGAAATAATCGCAGCGTTAGTAAGAAGACACCTGGTGTGGTTCTTCAGCTATATCTTGCTCTGGTTAGGCCCCATTTAGATTATGCAGTTCAGTTTTGGTCGCCGTACTATAGAATGGATATAAATTCACTTGAACGTGTCCAGCGTAGGATGACAAAGTTAATTCCCCAAATTAGAAATCTTTCATATGAAGAAAGATTAACAAAGCTTAAATTGCATTCACTGTTAAGGCGAAGAGTTAGGGGTGACATGATAAAGGTTTACAAGTGGATGAATGGACACAACAAAGGGGATATTAATAGGGTATTAAAAGTATCAACACAAGACAGAACACGAAACAATGGGTATAAATTGGATAAGTTTAGATTTAGGAAAGACTTGGGTAAATACTGGTTCGGTAACAGGGTTGTTAATTTGTGGAACCAATTACCACGTAACGTGGTGGAGGTGGGGTCCCTCGATTGTTTCAAGCGTGGGTTGGACATGTTTATGAGTGGGATTGGGTGGTTATAAATAGGAGCTGCCTCGTATGGGCCAATAGGCCTTCTGCAGTTACCTTTGTTCTTATGGTCTTATTTCATGGGTTTAGATCCCTTCTAGTCACGATTCCCAGATTGTTTTCGCATATCATCATTACCTAGCTCGAGAACCCTATATTTTTAGCATTTAACTGCATCTACCAATCATCCGTTCATCTCAAAACCGTTCGTTTAAATCATCCGTTCATCTCAAAAGCCAAACTATTATTCAACTGATTTTGAGTCTGAATTTTCCTCCTAATTGTTGTATATTGTGCACATTTTTAAATGTTGTTGTTGAGTCCGTTATGTTTACATATATGGTAAAGAAGAGAGGTTCCAAGACAAAGCCGTGAGGCACTCCGCTTACAATTGTCTCACAATCCTACTGAAGTCCATTTATGATGACTGTCTTCTTTGATATAAACGCTTTCTAATCCCACTTAAAACAATCCTCTAGTGAACAAATCCACAAGGGCCTTGACGAGGATTCGAACCTACATCCGAGATCATCCCAGACGCTGCCTTAATCGACTGAGCTCCGACATGGAAAAAGAGTTGAAGCCAGAAGCCTGAAGCCTGAACTTACTTGGATCCTGCAGCCTCTCTGAGACACAGACCAGGCTTTTACACAACTTCCCCCACGTATATATGAGTGGGATTGGGTGATTATAGATAGGAGCTGCCTCGTATGGGCCAATAGGCCTTCTGCAGTTACCTTTGTTCTTATGTTCTTATGTATCACAACTCCCCACAATCCCTCTAGTATCACTTGCCTCTCGTGAGCTACGATGTCAAAGGCCTTGCTGAAGTCAAGGTATAAAATGTGGCAATCTTTCTCGCCCTCAGCTGCTTCGGATATTCTGGACAAGAATGAGGAAATTTGCTAAACAAAGCGACCCTTAGTAAAACCATGCCTTGAAATCTTCATTAATTTATGCTCTTCAAGATGTCAAAGAATGCTTTTGTGATAATCGACTGGAACAATCTCGCCAATCACCAGGAGACGATAACAACTTATCTATCAGAGAAGGAGTAAAGGTGTCAGTCTATTGGCCACGTTTGGCCAATAGACTGACACCTTTTGACAGTCTATTGGCCAAACGTGGCCAATAGACTGAAGGTGACGAGACTGCGAGACGCACTTGGCCCGCATTACTCACCGATACCACATCGAAATCATTTGCAACATTCACTTGCACTATAATTACACCACTTGGTATAACTGTTGCGAATGTCATAGATGTGTTGCAACGCCGAAAGGTCAACAATACTTACCAGAGGCAGGAGGGCGGGCAGGCGTCAAGATCCCTGCCACGGGGCACCATTGTGGTCAACGCCACCCGGAGGGGTATGCAAGCCAGGAGTTCCCACTCTCCTGTAAACAGGTGCTGCCACTCGTCCAGGCACACCACTAACACGCTTCCAGGGCGCCTGCTGAGGCTTCCCACACTTCCAGGGCGCCTGTTGAGGCCTCCCACACTTCCAGGGCGCCTGCTGAGGCTTCCCACACTTCCAGGGCGCCTGTTGAGGCCTCCCACACTTCCAGGGCGCCTGCTGAGGCTTCCCACACTTCCAGGGCGCCTGTTGAGGCCTCCCACACTTCCAGGGCGCCTGTTGAGGCTTCCCACACTTTCAGGGCGCCTGTTGAGGCCTCCCACACTTCCAGGGCGCCTGTTGAGGCCTCCCACACTTCCAGGGCGCCTGTTGAGGCTTCCCACACTTCCAGGGCGCCTGTTGAGGCCTCCCACACTTCCAGGGCGCCTGTTGAGGCCTCCCACACTTCCAGGGCGCCTGTTGAGGCTTCCCACACTTCCAGGGCGCCTGTTGAGGCCTCCCACACTTCCAGGGCGCCTGTTGAGGCTTCCCACACTTCCAGGGCGCCTGTTGAGGCTTCCCACACTTCCAGGGCGCCTGTTGAGGCCTCCCACACTTCCAGGGCGCCTGTTGAGGCTTCCCACACTTCCAGGGCGCCTGTTGAGGCCTCCCACACTTCCAGGGCGCCTGTTGAGGCTTCCCACACTTCCAGGGCGCCTGCTGAAGCCTCCCACACTTCCAGGGCGCCTGCTAAGGCCTCTCACACTTCCAGGGCGCCTGCTAAGGCCTCTCACACTTCCAGGGCGCCTGCTAAGGCCTCTCACACTTCCAGGGCGCCTTAGCCCTGGAAGGGCGCTTTGGGCCATTATACCAATGGTAATAATACTATGAATTCCATCATTCTTTAACAAACTGGGAACCACTGGTGAGTGTGTTGATAACAATGAAGGGTTTGTGCTATATTCATGTGTGTGTGTGTCGCAGCGATGGCTGCTCGCTACTCTCCTAGCTCCATTGATTGTGTTGTAGGGGGTCCAGAGTGGTGAACGTGGTTGTTGTGAAAAATATATGTAGTAGACATAATAGAGGGAAAATATATTGGTTAGAAAGGCGGGGTCCAAGAGCTAATAGCTCGATGCTGTAAATAAAAATAGTAAAATACACAATACGAGTAAACGTAGGTAAACACAATGGGTGGATAATTGTGATTGAAATCCAAGAAAGAAATATTGTGGAGGGCGCGGACACGCTGGCCAGGGTAGGCACCATGTCTGAACGAATCCACAAGGGCCGTGACGAGGATTCGAACCTGCGTCCGGGCGTATCCCAGTCACTGCCTTAATCGACTGAGCTACGACACCATGTCCGGTACGGAGTCCCTGCATATTAGTGCTTGTATTCCGTGGGCCGGGTTGAGGGCAGTGTCATGATTAGCGAGGGTTGGCGTGAGAGGCGGTTGGGTAACTTTTCTTTAAGGTCTGGGATCCTCTCGGACGCAGGTTCGAACCCCCACGATCACGGCCCTTGTGGATTTGTTCATTTGGTGCATCACGCTATTGTGATCTGTGTGTGTGTAAGTACGTCGTTGCGTGGCCGGCTGCCCGAGGGAGTCAGGGGAATATTAAGTGTTAAGTCAGGTTGTGGACTTTCATAACCTGTTTGGGTCTTTGATGGATTCAGGTTATAACGTTTTGTTTTTGGCTTTTTACCAGGTCGACGAGGACCGTGAGCGGTAGTGGTCCTCGTGGCCCCTGGTTCGAGTCCTGGGCAGGGCGAGACGTAACAACACAAACATCAACATAAAAGGATGATGTTGACCAGACCACACACTAGAAGGTGAAGGGACGACGACGTTTCTCATTCTCACTCCTAGACCATTCTCAAGAATCGACTTGAGAATGGTCCAGGACGGACCGAAACGTCGTCGTCCCTTCACCTTCTAGTGTGTGGTCTGGCCAACTTACTTTAGCCACGTTATTGTGACTCATCGCCTGCATAAAAGGATGACAAAGGACTTTGAAATGTAGTCTTAAAGAGGGAATCAAAACTGAGCCACACACGGAAACTATTTGGCTAGAATTATACGAAAAATCTACAAAAAATTATAATTGGAGTTATATACAGGCGACCAAACTTAAGACAGAATGGAAGCAAAGCCTCTATGGGATGAAATATCTAGAGCCTCTAGGTTAAGAACTATTTGTGTCATGGGTGACTTTAATTTTAGTGTAATAAACTAGTTTAACAAAACAGGAAATAATGAAGCAGAAGATTTTCTAGAATCACTAGACTATTGCTTCCTTAAGCAACACATTAAGGAACCAACGTGTGAAAATAATATTTTAGACTTAGTGTTAACAAACAGGGAAGTGCAAATTAGGAAAGCAAGTTTTAGCAAAATACCTGGGTAAATACTGGTTCGGTAAAATAATTGTTGATTTGTGGAACCAAGATTAGATCTTTGCCCTTCTCCCATGCTAACATTGGCGGCCTCTGTGGGAAGATAGGCCACGCGGGATGTTTTCCGTGCATGTTTTTAAAACATGTTTAAAAAAAAAACATGCACCCACTCCTGCCTGATTGTTCTTTATGCCACAAAAACGTGGCTAAAGTATGTTGACCAGACCACACACTAGAACGTGAAGGGACGACGACGTTTCGGTCCGTCCTGGACCATTCTCAAGTTCAGTCGAGAATGGTCCAGGACGGACCGAAACGTCGTCATCGTCCCTTCACCTTCTAGTGTGTGGTCTGGTCAACAGTGTTCTTTATCATGCTATTGACGTGATTCAGCATGTCAAGGCTGTCAAGTAGTACCATCGATCATGGAGGCTGACCCCTGGGTGGCGGGGGGCCCCTGGGGCAGTATAGGCGCCCAGAGTAACTTTAACTCCGGTATCCAGTTTGAAAGTTGAAGCTGGACGAATTGCCAATCCAGGTGACCTTGACTCTTTATCTCTCAGTACCTCGTGTACTGCCTCTCGGCTCCACTCCTGACAAAGACATACCTGAATAACACATTCCGACTCCCTTGACAACACACACACACACACACACACACACACACACACACACACACACACACACACACACACACACACACACACACACACACACATACATACATATATATATATATGTGGGGGCCTCGTAGCCTGGTGGATAGCGCGCAGGATTCGTAATTCTGTGGCGCGGGTTCGATTCCCGCACGAGGCAGAAACAAATGGGCAAAGTTTCTTTCACCCTGAATGCCCCTGTTACCTAGCAGTAAATAGGTACCTGGGAGTTAGTCAGCTGTCACGGGCTGCTTCCTAGTGTGTGTGTGGTGTGGGGAAAAAAAAAAAAAAGTAGTTAGTAAACAGTTGATTGACAGTTGAGAGGCGGCCCGAAAGAGCAAAGCTCAACCCCCGTAAAAACACTATAGTAAACACTAGTAAACACACACACACACACACACACACACACACACACACACACACACACACACACACACACACACACACACACACACACACACACACACACACACACACACAGTACACCAGTTGATTGACGGTTGAGAGGCGGGACCAAAGAGCCAAAGCTCAACCCCCGCAAGCACAATTAGGTGAGTACCACAGCCCTACCAACTAAGCCACAAGCACCCACAATAAGGAGGGATTCAAAAGAATCTCAAGTGATATGCATCTGGAACTTTAGGCCTTTCCTCGGGTGCCACTTGAGCATGGAGGAGGCCTAATATAGTACATATATGTGCTTTCTAGGCCCTAGGAATATTTAAGTTTGGTTTTAGCTATAATTTGTCCAATTATAATTCGTAATAAGGCAAATAGGACACTGGGATTTATTAATCGAAGCGTTAGTAACAAGGCACCTGGTGTTGTTCTTCAGTTATATCTTGCTCTGGTTAGGCCCCATTTAGATTATGCAGTTCAGTTTTGGTCGCCGTACTATAGAATGGATATAAATTCACTAGAACGTGTCCAGCGTAGGATGACAAAGTTAATTCCCCAAATTAGAAACCTGTCGTATGAAGAAAGACTGACAAAGCTTAAATTACATTCTCTAGAACGGCGAAGAAGTAATGGTGAGGTGATATAGGTGTACAAGTGGATGCATGGGCATAACAAAGGGGATATTGGTAGTGTGTTTACAAACACCCTAGGTGGCACTCATGGTACTTTCAAAATATCTACTAAAGTGATGGACATCTGAATAGATGTCCATCTGCAGGACATCTGAATAGATGTCCTGCAGTTGACTGATTGATTGATAAAGATTAAGCCACCCAAGAGGTGGCACGGGCATGAATAGCCCGTAATCCTGTAGTTGGTCAACAGCAGATAATTATTTGGTCTCCAGGCCATCCAGGGTACAGATGCCATATATACAGCCCCGCTCCTGCGCCAGGTAAGTTCACTACGGGCTCACCATAGCCCGTGCTACTTACAACTTTCGGTTTCCAGTAGCTGAATCTTCAACAACAAACAGCAACAACAACAAATAGAGAGATGGGGGGGGGGGGGAGAGAAGGTTGTAAGCCTGGGTAACACCCCCCCCCCCACCTGGGGGGGGGGGTGTATGTGTACCCCGGGGCACGGCGCTGCCCTCCAATCTGATTGTGTATTGTCATACCCTAACTACCATCATTGATTACTGGCGAGAGTCTCTTGGGTGTAACCCAACTACAGGAGACCTGCGAGTGGGAGGCTGTCAGGTCATTGGCCAGTAGTGGCACTCATCGTCCACCGTCACTCATGATCCACCTTCACCTGCACTCATGGTTTACCTTCACTCATGATCCACCTTCACCTGCACTCATGGTTTACCTTCACTCATGATCCACCTTCACCTGCACTCATGGTTCACCTTCAACTTTAGCTAAGTGTCTCACAAATTTTTGTGCGTCATTTATATGAGTAAGTTTGGGTGGGTTGATATAGACGCTGCCTCGCATGGACCAAAAGCCCTCTGTGCAGCTGAAGAAGCACAGATTAGATGGGACATGGTAACGACATACACGATTCTCAAGATACTTGATAAAGTTGATCAAGCGGAGAAGTTTAGTGTAAGACAAGGAGGCGGATATTTAAGGTATTATATGAACACGAAACAATTGATGTAAACTGGATATGTTTAGATTAAAGAAATACCTGGATAAATACTGGTCTGGAAAGAGAATTTACCCAGGTGGCGTGGTTAATGGGTTGGTGATTTGAGGAACAGATTACCACACTTCCATGAATTCGGGCGGATGTAAATAGGAGCTTCCACGTATGGAAGGCCCCATGGGAGACATCTCCCGTCACCTCCACAGATCTCCAGTATCAGCTCTTGATACTGGTAATGGGCCACCACATATGGGCTATTCATGCCCGTGCCACCTTTTGGGTGGCTTAATCTTCATCAATCAATCAATCTATGGAAGGCCCTCCGCACCGCTCCTGTTCCAGGTAAGCTACGGGCTCACCATAGCCCGTGCTACTTGGAACTTGTTCCGAGTAGCTGAATCTATAACAAAAGTATGGAAGGCCTTTCTGCAATTTTCTTAATTCTTATTTTATGTTCTTATATCAAGGCGGGAATGACAGCTTGTGGAAATAATCCACAGGGACGCTAGCAAGAACGTGAACAAGGAGAGTGCTAAGACAGGGTAAAGTAGGACCACTGAAGAGACACAGCAAGCACAGCAAACAGCTCCTCACACACCACAGCAGGAAGCATCAGGGTTAAGAAGCAACCTGTCCTCTTAAAAATAACGTCGCTTATCGCACGTATGCGCGCTAGGGCCAAAAAATGGACGTAATTTGAAATGAAATGCGGCTCACGAAAGTAAACGTAC